AGGGTCTCTCTCTCTCTCTCTCTCTCTCTCTCTCTCTCTCTCTCTCTCTCTCTCTTTAATCTCAAGACCAAAAAGTTACATCAAATAGGAAAAAAAATCAAAATCAGTAAGTATTATGAATGAAGAGAGTCTAATTATTTAAGGGACATCGGAAGCCAAAATCCATCTGCCAAAGGAACAGAAGAGCACCTTGTAGGCAATCCGAAGAAGAAATAAGTAGCTGAAGACAATAGCTATGCACACAAGGCTCCAGTTTATGAAGTTATTTGAAGAGAAAATGTAATATGTACAAGAGCAAACAAAGACACGTGTGTGTGTGTGTGTGTGTGTGTGTGTGTGTTTTGGTGGGGGTGTTCGAGATAGGGTTTCTCCGTGTAGCTCTGGCTGTCCTGGAGCTCACTCTGTAGACTAGGCTGGCCTCTTACTCAGAAATCCTCCTGCCTCTGCCTCCCAAGTGCTGGGATTAAAGGCCTGCACCACCACTGCCTGGCGTGTTGTTTCTTGAAAAAGGATCTCCGTATACAGTTCCTACTGGTATTGATTGCACTTGTCATCTTCTGCCTCCATATTCTCAGTGCTTCCATTACATTCCACCTGGTGTAAATAAACAAATTTACATATCTATTTACATACGTGTCTATAAACACATACAAACATATAAACATGTTTATACTTACACAGTATATATAATATATATGTATGGTTGATTTTTTGTTTTGTTTTGTTTTGTTTTTTTGAGGCAGGGTTTCTCTGTGTAGCCCTGGCTGTCCTGGAACTCACACTGTAGACCAGGCTGGCTTCGTACTCAGAAATCCGCCTGCCTCTGCCTCCCAAGTGCTGGGATTAAAGGCGTGTGCTACCACTGCCCAGCTGTATGGTTGATTTTTAACTGTGTGTTTTGTAAGTAGGTGCAACAAAAAACCCCACTGAACCCTCCTGCTCTCCATGGAGAAAAAGAATGGTTTATTAAAAACTGCCAGGCTACCGCTAAGAGCAGTAGAAGATAGCCCCCAGCGGCAAAGGCTCGGTAGGTTTTAGGGGCTTGTACAAACTGGAGTGAGGGCAGCTCAGAAAAGCCAGGTGGTTAGCATGGGAATTCTGTCAGGCAGAGAGGAGACTGACAGATACAGCCAGGAGCCTTCAGCCAGCTGTTAAGGGCTTCTGAGAAATGCTTTAAGTATGTTTCCTAGCAAAACGAAGTTCTGATGGGGCTAAGACCATCACTATAAAATACTGCCATCAGCACTGCCATTGGGGGCCTGCTTTGGGGACCTGGCATACTTGTGTGTGTTTGTGTATGTGCAGGCAGATGTCAGAAGTGCAGGTTGGCCTCCTGCACACTAACCCCTGGTACTCGGATAACCCGGATATTTCCCTTGGAATAATGCAGTTCATTCAGTTTTACATTCTGCTCCACTATATGCAAAGCATAACTTCTGGATCAGGAAATATTAAAAGTTTACTTGGTGTAAGATCAGAGATTCACAAAGACACAAAAAAAAAACCCCAAGATATATTTTGAGATAGGTTCTTTCTGTATAACCCTAGTTGGTATGTTAGTGCTTGCTTTGCAGCCCAGGTTGCCTCAAGTTCTTGGCTAAACCTCTTATTCAACTTCCCAGATTGGTGTGCTCATAGGTGTATGCCACCATACCTGACTCAAATCGATGACTTCATTTTTCTCCCATCCAGGGCTGGGCATTAAACCCAAAGCCATTGCATACTGAACAATGTAGATCAAACCCAGAGCCTTTGCATATTAGACCATGTTCCACCACTGAGTGTACCTACATCCTCGGTTCTTTTAAATGTGTAGTTGTTGGAGCCAGGATCCAGTCATGTTATCCAGGATGGTCTGTCTGTAAGTGGCTGTGTAGCCTAGGGCAGGCTTCAACTTTTGATACTATTGCATGACCACACCCGGCTCAGCAAAATTTTAAAGACATTCAGGAAGTCTCAAAGCCAAAACAACCACAATCCCCCTCCCAATCCAATCTAATACTAGGTGTGGTGTCACACTGGGGAGGTGAAGGCAATGCAACGGATTTTTCAAGGCCTTGCGTGGGCTTCGTCGCAGGCCCTGTTTTAAAGACTCCAAAGCAGGACCCTCCCAAAAAAAAAACCTATGAAAAAGTCATTAACCGCCGGGCGGTGGTGGCGCACGCCTTTAATCCCAGCACTTGGGAGGCGGAGGCAGGCGGATTTCTGAGTTCCAGGACAGCCAGGGGCTACACAGAGAAACCCTGTCTCGAAAAAAAAAAGTCATTAACCACGTGCAGTGTGTGTGCGTGAAATAAGGATGGAGTGTGTTAAGGTTTCTGCTGTTTCCCTTGGTGTAAAGTGGGAATGCTGACTGAAGGACCTTTTTTTTTTCTCATTAATTTATTCACTTTACATCCGGATCAAAGTTCCCCTCCCCCAAGTTCCCTCCCCCCTCCCGGCCCCCAAGGCCGTCTTAAAATGCCTTCAAGATTAACTTTTCTGGAGACAAGTTTTACTTTATTTTTGAGTCAGGGCTCACTATGCAAACTTGATTGACCCAAAGCTCTGTAGTCAGTGCAGACCTCAAACTCAAGAGATTTGCCTGCCTCTGCCTCTTAGGACCGGATTGATTTAAACCAGTGGTTCTCAGTCTTTCTAATGCTGCCTTTATTATAGTTCCTCATATGTAGTCTTGACTCCCAACTATAAAATTATTCTCATTGCTACTTCATAACTGTAATTTTGCTATTATGAATTGTAATGTAAATATCTGATTTCTGATGGTCTTGGGTAACCCCTATAAAAGGGTTGTTTGACTCTCAAAAGGATCGTGACCCTTGGGTTGAGAACCGCTTAATTAAACAAGTTACGTTGAAAGAGAACTTTGTTGGGTGTAGTAGTGCACGCCTCTCAAATCCCAGCACCCAGGAGGCAGAAGCAGGCAGATCTCTTGAGTTCGAGGTCAACCTGGTCTACAGCGGTAGTTCCAGAACAGTCAGAGCTACATAGTGAAATCTTGTTTCAGAAAACAACAAAATACAAAAGCAGGAGGGAAAAGAAGTGAATCGGAAAAGAACACGCGACTGTGGAACCATAAGTCAGTTTGAGCTGATCCACTTTCCTTCAGATCAGCCAACCCACAGTTCTGGGGGCGTGGCTAAAGGTTAGAGAGAAGAGGCTTTGGGTACTTTCAGTCAGGCATTGGCGCGGTCTGCCCCGAGGCCTTGGCCACGCCCCACGTTGGGGCCTTCCGTGCGTGTTGATATGATTGGTCGGCAGTGAGCAGTCCTCTCTTCCTCCTCTACAGCCCCGGCACCGTAGCCATCATGGTGAGTCTCCTCGGGCTCTCTGTACTATCCGTCGCTTATCCGCGCCATCCCTACCTGCTCAGGCCCGCCACTGGAGCCGCAACCATGCAGGGCTCACTTTCTCTGCGCCGGCCTGCCTCACGGAGGCCGGTCGCTCTGGGTCCCCGAGTCGCGGCTGTCCGGCGCCGCCATCCAGAACACGCTGGGCTTTGGGCTACCGGGGCGCTCGGCCGTGGAAACCCATGTGGAGCTTCAGGGCCACGAGTGAGACAGGCGCTGGCGGGCCAAGGTGATGAAGGCGCCTCCGGCTTTTGGGCCAGTGGGCCCCTCCAGTAAGCCAGCAAACTTAGCGGTGGAGTAGAACTTGAGTGTCTTGAGAACATTAAGATGCTTGGAAAGGGGGCCGCCAAAAAATAGCCTTGGCTATTTCTCTCAGGCGGAGTACTGAGTTTTGCCCATTTGCAGGCTGTTTTTCTTTAACTCATGGGTTTGGTGCTATTGAGGCGACTTGATCCCTATTTCTCAAGTCGAGGTCGGAAAGCTAGCAACCATTTACAAGGTACTGATTTAAGTTGATCCCTGTTAAACTTTGTGTCTGCTTAAGCTCGCCAAATGCCAGCTACCAAAGTACTTCCAACTCAGGGAAAAAGTTGAAGTCGTGAGCCTGAGTATTCACGGAGAGGTGGTGCTGGGAACCACTGAGACTTCTCTCCAAGCACTGGAGGCATTAGTTGCAGCGTGTAGAGCGTGCTGGTGGTATCTAATATCAGGTGGGCTGGGATTCTTAAATCCACATGTGAGATCACAAAACCAATAGTACTGAGGTTAAACCCAAGTGATAACGATAATTTAAAAGTGAGGTTTGGATGACAGGTGAGGAAAAATGAAATTTTTATGGTAGTTTTTATGAGGTGGCCACCTGCTCTGGGTTTTTTTTTTTTTTTTTTTTGCCTGTTCTTTCCTCTGTAGCTTATCCCCAATTCCTGCCTCTTTCTAGACCACATTACTAGTAATTGCTGAAGTAGAGCAAAGGCAAGAAGTTGTAACACAATCTTTCTGACTTGTGTGTTATCTGCAGAATGACACGGTAACCATCCGGACCAGGAAGTTCATGACAAACCGTCTGCTTCAGAGGAAACAGATGGTAAGGGAATTTGGTCTCTGTGTCTGCTTTTGAAGATGTAGTAGTTGTAACGAGTTACTAAACCTTATACCTCTTTTTAGGTCATTGATGTCCTTCATCCTGGGAAGGCAACAGTACCAAAGACAGAAATTCGGGAAAAGCTGGCCAAAATGTACAAAACCACACCAGACGTCATCTTTGTATTCGGATTCAGAACACACTTTGGTGGTGGCAAGACAACTGGCTTTGGCATGATCTATGACTCTTTAGATTATGCAAAGAAGAATGAGCCTAAACACAGGCTTGCAAGAGTGGGTATCTTGTTTGTGGGATAGCTATGGAAGATGTAGGTCTTTTCTGCATGGATGCCTGTAATTCCAGAGCAGCCTGAGTTAGGATGACAAGTTAGATTTTGTTTTCCAGTGTGTATTGAGATACGAGAACAGTTTGGGCCAAACTTAGGGTTATCTCCTACCTATCCACTAGTCCATCTTCGCATAGTTTGCCCGTCCTTCCGAACTGGAACTTAGTCTTTCCTGGGCTTTCTAGTAGTGTGCACTACCATACCTGGCTTTTGCTTGAGCTGTGCTGCCATATATGGTTAGGAAAAGTTGGTAGTCATTTAACGGGCAAGTTAGCCATATTTATTGCAATGTACAGACAGTACCTTTAAAAATTTAGGACAGAACTTCATGTAGTCCAAAATGTATAACAAGCTTGATATTTGGTTGTTGATCAGGATGGCCCTGGCTTATTTTTTTTTTTTTTTTCATTCCAGGCTGGCCTGGAACTTGTGATACTCTGCCTCCAGAGTGGAGATCACAGGCATGGACTGCCACTCTGAGTTATTTTCTTGTTTCATTGGGTTGTTTATTTGAGGCATAGCCTCTAGCACAGGCTGGCCACAAACTAGTTCCTTTACCCCAGTTTCATGAGTGGCTAGGATTGTATGTGTGAGTTGTTTCTTTAATCCATTTACTCCTTGTTGTGATAAGTTCTCTAGTATAACAGTTGAATATGAAGATTTCCTGAGGCTAGTTTTGTTGATAGGGTGTTGCCCCAAGTCACGGGGGATTATCCTGCCTCTGTCTCCAAGCTCTGGGATTCGAGACATGTGCCACCACACCTGGCTAGATATCTTTTTAAGGTGGTGCTTTGGGAATCTTGCTGAGAGCCTTGTGAAGATGCTGTCTGGAACACCAAGAGCACGTTAGTGGGTTAGGATCCACACTAGGAGGGAGGGGTAGGGTTCTTAGTAAAAGTGTCCATCCTTCACTGGAGAAGTAGGAATTGAAAGGCAAGATGTTGGGCAATGTTGTAGCAGTTTTTAAAACGTCGAGTTGGTTTTAAAGCTTTGTTTCTAAGTTCTGATCACCTCAGCTTCACCTTGCGGGTGGTGAGGAATGATTTCATTGATGAACTCTTCTCTCATAGCATGGCCTTTATGAGAAGAAAAAGACTTCCCGAAAACAGCGAAAGGAACGCAAGAACAGGATGAAGAAGGTCAGGGGGACTGCAAAGGCCAATGTTGGTGCTGGTAAAAAGGTATGGTTCATGGGTGGTACAGAGATGTCATTCATTGTTAAGCTTAATATTGTCTGTGAGGAAGGGTTTTCTTTTCTAATTTTTCTTGGTGTTTTTCTTTTCCCTCTTCTGGACTGCAGAAGGTAACGTCGTGAGACGCTCCATAGCGTGGTAGTATCCTAGAGTAGATTGGCCCACCTCTTCTGCTCATAGACTAGCCACTCCAACATAAGGCCACATTGGTTCAGAGATCCTAGTGGTTGCTTTTAAGGCCTGATTGTTCTAGGAATTTCTGTCTCATGTTAATTGACACAGGCCCCTCAAGGGAGAGCAGATCATGCTCCCGAGGATTTCATTTATTTCTTATCATGGGCGCTAATTTCTGAATGCAATTGGATCAATGTGGCCTGTGCTTTCCTCTCCAGTTAGCTGAGATCACAGTGATTTGAGTAGTAGCTTTATATCAGCTTTGCTAGCTAATCTTGACTAGTAAAGTAAAATTAAGGTTTTGGGTTGCTGAATAATCAAGTGTTCTGTAAATTTTTTCCCCTCTCCTACTGTCTTGGATTTCTTGTTCAACAGAAATGAAATATCTAGCAGGTACTGCCATTGGGCATGGTGTGGGGTGTGCCACCTTCACTGAGCTGCCTCTGATGCTTTGCATGTTGGCTTTTAGATGATGATGGTTTTCATAGTATGGCTTGTTAAAATGCCAATGCCTGTTTTAAGTAGTATCTTAACTACCAGAAGGAAAAGCTTACATTTAGGTTGGAAACCCCCAAAACACATGTTAGATGGAGGGTGGTATCTACTGAAGGAAGGTAGGTGCCCTGGTCTCCTTTAATTTTCAGTTTGAAACTGGTATTCAGGAAATGGCTTTAGTGACCCATCCTCTCTAGGATGCTGCAAGACCAACAGATTCTCATGGGTATGGCATCTGATCCAAACTGGTTGGTCCTAGCAAATAGTTCTAATAGAAAACTTTGAGGTAACCCACTGAAGCCTCGGGTACTATTTTTACCAAATGCATTTTAGTCAGAATGGCTCCCTGTTCCACATGTATAGTGTGCAGTAGATTAAGTGCAGAGGGATTATGTTTGTATTGTCTTAGAAATGTGCTCACTACCCGCTGCCTGCCTGAGACCATACTCAGAATGACTTACGACTTTCCTACCAGCACTGGAGTTAATGAGCACTGCCTGTAGACACAACACACTTCATAGGTGTTGCAGATTATACCTGTTGATCAGTAGATGGTTTGATATAGATTTGTCCTTTGAGCCAGAACTGAAGGCCGTTTGACAGATTCTTCGCTAGCCTCCGTCCCTCTGGAAGGTGTTCTGTGGAGCTGGTGATCGCACTAGCACCACTTTGAAAGGCTAGCTCAAAAATGGGCTTTAAAATAGTAATGTCCTGAGTTTATTTTGCTTGATGGTAGAACATCCTTTGTATGCAGTGGAGCTTAGACCAAGGCATTGGTGGTCATATATTTGCAAAGTAATTGGATTTTTACTTCAGCTAAATTTTTGTTACTAATTTGTATACTTTGGTATCCAAGATTGGTATAAAATACTAAACTTGAACAGACTTCAAAAGACTTGCCTAATCATGTAGAGCCCTTCCATTGAAGCCCTTCCATTGGACTCTAAAGCTTCCCAAGTCTGTGTCCTCTGCTTTGCACAAGACTAACCTGAGCCAAAGGGTCCAGTCTCAAATGTGTCCTCCATCCACATGCTGGTAGTAGCAATATGGGTTTGGCACTGCTCTGGCATTAATGCAGTTGGGTGTTAATCAGGGAAGGTGCTGTCAGAAGTGGGTGATGTGCAAGGAATGATGTGTACACAACAACAGTCACCTGAGGTGTCTGGTTGCATGTACTTCAGATGATTTTGGTGTTTGAAAAAGGACTACTAATGAACTGTCTGTTTTCCTCCTTCCCATTTCCCCTTTCCTGCCACTGATTCAGTGAGAGGAGATTGGATACAGGTATAATTCAAGTTATTATGTAGCTTACTAGATTCCTTGTTACTGACGTAGTTTGAGCAAGCACGTGAACATTTAAGTAGATTTGCAAGTATAGTTTGTAACAGTACTAACAGTGAGTGTCTAAAACCCAGAGATGTTGACTTGTTTTTGTTTCATTTCTAACGTGAATGTTAGTTTAGTTTCTGTTGTTTGCATCATCCTTACAGTTTCTGTTTTAGGTTCATACTTGTTCTGCATGAATTATTTTTAGAATTTGTTTAAGACCTTTTCAAAATTGTTGCTGACTGAATTTCTTTCTCCATTTACAGCCAAAGGAGTAGATCTTCGGTGACTTGATGTTCTGCTGTGATGTGCAGATTTCTGAGAGGAACAAATAAACTAAAAAGCTTCTATGTATCTGGAGTCTGCTGCTTATTGGGCATTAGAATTGGGTAGCTGCTCAGGTGTCATGCAGTCCAGTGCACCAGGCTTTGTGAAAGCCCGCCTGGTGTGAGGGGCTCATACACATCCTTCCTGGCAGAGGGTGGTGATGGGCAAAGTATAGGACCAGTGTGTTGTGTACCGTTAGCATTTGTCTCGGCTGAACCCCTTTCGGTGTCCCTAGACTCACAACTTAGTTCTGGGCCTTCCTCCCTGCTTGATTAGGTCTGGCTGATCTGGAACTCCTTATGTAGATTAGGCTGGCCTGAGCAGAGGTCTGCCTCAGTCCTGAGGAAAAGGTGTATCTCCCTCGTTCACACTTCTGGCCTTAGTTGAAAGCAAATCTGCTTAAGACTAAGACATCTTACCAGATCTTGTCTAGCCCCAATGGAAATTGAACCCATTTTTGGCCAGGACCCCAGGCTTGCCGGCAAGTGGTCTGGCAGTGACCCATGGCCACCAGTCCAGCCACAGATACTTTCCTTTGCCTGATATTGGGAAGGATCAAAGTCAAGGAGCCTGAGCTGAGTTAATCGAGTCAGGTGTTTGGTCGGGCAGTTGGAGTAGGAGTCACCTGAAAGGCATCACCACTTACATTTGTTTTTGTGCTAGAAGGGAAGCTCGGGCTTTGTGGATTTTCTATGAGTTTTTCTCTAAAGGCTGTATTTTATCAATTTGTCTGGGTCCATGTGGGAATCAGACTTGTAAATGTAATGAACATTGGATGGAAAGCTAGTAACATTTTGGGACTGCAGAGATGAGTGGTTCAGTACTTTGCCCTTGAAGATGGCCTGGTTTCAATATTTCAATGACTCATGGCTGGCTAGTAGTTCTAGTTTCAGGGAAATACATATGTGCATTGGTGTTTTGTTTGCATGTGTGTCTGTGAGGGTGTAAGATCCCCTGGAACTAGTTACGAGGTGCCATAGGGGTGCTGGGAAATGAACATAGGTACTTGGAGGAGCCCCTCCCACCCTCGCACAATTGTATTGGGACAGGTGAGATGTGAGCAGTTTTGGAAAGGCTTCACCGTGGGGGGCCAAGATGAGACTTGTAGCTGTGGACTTGGGTGTGAAGCTTTGTTTTATGTTAGGGAATCAGTTCGCTTGCTGGAATCAAGTGAGTAGGATGGGCCCTGGGCTGAACTGGTTATCTGTGGCTGCAGGGTTATGTGGAGGATGAGCCCAAGGTAACTAAACGGCAAAGGCTTCAATGGAGCCAGCTGGTGGTAAGGGGCTTTATTCCAGCGCAGGAGGCAAGTGGATCTCTGAGGTTAGCCTGGATCCAGGATAGGAAGGGCTACACAGAGGCTGTCTCAAAAAGCCAAGGACGCCTGGAACAGGAGGTTGGTTGCTGAGCTTCAGTATGGAAGCAGGTTAACCTGAGGGTACAGGAGGGACTGATGTTGGTGGGAAGTTACGTACATAGCTGGTCTGTTGAAAGGAGTGCAGCACAGAGATCCATCTGCCTCCTGAGTGCTAAGATTTAAAGGCCTGTGCCCAGCCAAACAGATTCTCTCAAAAATCAGGTGTCAAAGCTGATAACTAGCTGAGGCAAGTGGGGAGGGTGACAAAGATTACAGGGTGTGCATGGGCCTTTTCTGTGGCTGATGTGGGCAGGGACAGTTGTACAGGAATGCTTCCTGGGCTCCAGAAAGTGGGCCAGGTTCTCCAGAGAAACAGCCAAGTCAGACCGACTGCCTGTAAGCTTTCCTTGATAGTGGTGAAGCCACTGTGGCCCACCTTGCTGTGTGATGGCTGTGGGCCAGTTAACACTGATCCGTTTTGTCTCCTGTAATCTAAAATCCTCTGGTACTTTGAGTTCCTCTAAATGTTGTTTGGGTTAATGTCAAATCCAGGGCTTTGAAGGATACCTGTTCTGACATTCTGAATCATAAGTTTTTGAGTCTCAGGATGACAGAACTGGAGGCTGAAGGGCTTAAGCAGCTGACAGGAAGTGAGGCGGAAACTAGGTTGTGTGCAATTGTGCTATTGAACTTGGGAATGTTGGGAGCTGTATCACAGCCCTGCTGATAACTAGGTTGACACTGCTCTTTGCAGGCTTTGGGCAAGCCTTTATAAGAATGTAAAGTTGATTTTCCTAAGGAAACAGCGCAGCCCCTCCAGCTTAGCACTGACTGGAAATTGATGAGATGAGAGCACAAGACTCAAAAAACCAATGACACCTAGTGCCTGTGTGATGGGTGACATGTGACCTTCCATGTAGGACCTTCAAAGGTGGGGAGAAAGGCTGGATGGTTCTGCAAGTGTACCGTTTCCATTGTGTTGGGTTTGAGGTGCTGCTTTTGGATTGCCTCAGTACCCATGTGTTTGTAGCCTCAGTTGTCCTTCACTACTTCCCTTCCTTGCCTATTTAGGATTTTGATTTGCTCTAAGGAGAGTATCTTACAACAAACTCATAGAGCTGAGGCAGGAGGGGTTATAAGCACACATTATGTCGACATTGGTGTACAATTTACCTCAAGAGGAAGGTGTATCTTTCAGGCTGGAGAGGTATGACAACCAGTAGTTTTAACTACCAGGCTTTTTTTTTTTAGGGTGGTGGTGGGGGGTAAGGGTGTGGTGAGTTGTGTGACCCCAAGGTATTAAGCTGCTTTCTTTTGGGCATACCATTGGTCAGTGAGGTGTCATTTGCCATAGGGTTACTGAGCATAGGTAGCCAACCACATTCCCTGTCTATCGAGTTAACCATGTGCACCACCAGTCCCTGATCTGTCTCCTAGGGAGGAAAGATAAGCCAATAGGAGAGTAAAGCTGAGGACCTTGTGCTCTGGGTCCTGGAGTGGCCAGCAGGTTGGGTCATAGTAGCAGTCCACAGACAAACTTGGTGTAAGACCTGGATCCTGGAAGGTTTCTGGAGGTAATGGGATTAAGTGACATGATCTGGCTCAAACTCATAAGAGCAGAATCTCACTCGAGGCCGTGAAAAATGATTAGGCAGGTGTACGAGGGAGTGGCCATTCTGCAGTGGGGCAGGGAAAAGAGGGATGAGATGGAAATCCTGAATTTAGGTGGAAAGCTCTGTGACTGGTGGCTTCAGACAGTTGCCCTTTACTCCTGCTGTTCTTACAGGAGAAATCTCATTCTGAACAGACGTCAGGTCGGCAAGGCCAGCTGACACTGGGTTATCAATGTTGACAGCCAAGTTCTCCTGAGTCCCAAAGCTCTACACAGCTAGCTGTTCCTCTGTCCTCCAGATTTCCCTCCTATGCCAGACCTGAGGGCCTGTCTCCCGTGTCTTCAGTCTGGGAGTGAGATTATCAGACCTGATGGAGCAGAAGGGGCCTGGGAAGGTCAGCAGGGAACAACCCAAGGAAGACCTTGTGTGCCAGGCGGAGGAATTTTCTCATTATTTTGGTTGAGTAAAAGAAAATGTAGAAAGTTAGAGATTGAACAGTAGGTCAAGTGTCCTTGTCACATGCTGAGTTTTTCCACACAGAGTACTTGAACCGTTTGACTGCTCCATCAGGCATGATGGCACGATTACGGCAGGAGAGGGCTGATGAGCCGGTGTTTGAGCAGTGTACTGGGAAAGAGGGCCAGACCAGGAGCCCAGAGCAGTTCCTGCTCCTCAGCCTCCAGGCAGCAGGAGCCATGGGGGAACGGAAGGCTTACCATTTGGGCTTGCACTCCTCCCTCTATATCAGGTACAAGGGCTGACTTGAGTAGTGAGGTTTGTTTAAAATACTCAGCTGTTCACCTGCTCACTTTGTAGCTCGAAGTGGGAGCACTCATTCATCTGGAATTTTAACAGCTTTGAGGCTTGGACTGAAAGTTCACAAAGATCCTTTCTTTTTTGTTTGTTAGTTTTGTTTTTTGTTTTATTTGTTGTTTGTTTGTTTTTGTTTTTTGAGACAGGGTTTCTCTGTGTAGCCCTGGCTGTCCTGGAACTCACTCTGTAGACCAGGCTGGCCTCGAACTCAGAAATTCACCTGCCTCTGCCTCCCAAGTGCTGGGATTAAAGGCTACAAAGATCCTTTCTGCCTATGTCTCTCATGGAACAGATCTTGTCCAAAAGAAGGTTGCAAATGAATGATAATACTAGAACTACTGCTAATAAAAATTCTGAGCTCAGAACTAGGGAGATGCTTAGTGGGTAAAGTGCTTGCTGTGCACTCGTGAGGACTTGAGTTCAAATCCCTATCACCTACGTAATAGCTGGGCTGAAGTGAGTGTCTGTAACCCTAGTGCCAGGGAAGCCACAGGCAGATTTCTGGGAGTCTTTCCATCCTACACTATAGGTTTAATGAGAGACTCTGTCTCAAAAAGTAAGGTGAAGCTTAATAGAAGAGATCTGAGGCCTACCTCTGGCCTCCATATGTACATGCACAGGTAAGCACATGTGCATATACACATGTGATACATGCATGAACAGATTTATTGAGGTTATACTGGGATTTGAGTCTAGGAGGGAGGCACTATAATCCCCATTTTGCAGATGATGAAGTTGAGGTTTACAGGGAGTTAAGGCTGCATAGTCAGCCTGATGAGCCAGAGTAACTAAGGAAGTTTATGCATATTCACTTTAGCTAGCCACAGCACCAACTGCTAACTTGTTAGAATTGCACATTTCAGGATCCTACTCAGCCAGCTACTGGAAAGTGAGAGTGGAGCCCAGTAACCTGGATTTTAACAAGCCTGGAGGCATCTGGTGCAGAGTAAAGTTAAGAGTATTGGGGGAGGAGACAGTTGTGGGGACCAGCAATAGATGTTTTGATAGCCACAATCCTGAACCTTCCTTAGTGGAGTGAAAGTGGTCCATCCGGCCGACTTCCACGAGGGGGCACTGTGGGTTCAGGCTTAGAACCACGCGCTTTGTTGTCAAGGCTGCTGCTCTCGGGAAGCCTGAAGAAAGCCTGCTGCCAGATTAACAGAGGGGTCAGCCTTTCTTCTTCCGGGAAGGTCTGCCCGTCTGCCGGGGTGGTAATCTTGTTTACAGGATTCAGCCCTCGTAGT